TCTCAATTTTATTTTTTAAATATACCTTTTTTGACACGAAAATAGTGACCTAGCCGCTAAAAAGTGACCTGCTACCAGCCCTGACTTTGTAGCAAAAAATATGAGATGAGATTTACATTAACATGTTGATGAGCTAGAGCTCAAAATCTCATGGAATAAAGAGACTCAGAACTTTTGAGCATTTTGTACTTCACGTGTTTAAAAATAACATTGTTGGATTATCCAAATCATCCCGGATATCTGATCTTGAAGTTCTGCAGGCTGAAAAAGATAATACCATGATTTTAAGTAATGGTAGAACGAGTAAAACTTCGTGAAGCTCCATAATATTATTGGTTTGGAATATTAGGTTTTCCAAAATTTCTAGAGATCAGCTGTTAATTTTTTTAAAAAATATTGTCACTGTGTTAACTCTTGGATCTTTCGTGCTTTATCCGGGTGAGATTTTAACTCATGATTTTGACGTGCTTGGAGGAGTTTGAGATGCCATAAATCTGCCAAAAATTCTCTATCTTCAAGTAGCTTCGTGAAAGAATATGTCTTACTCAGACACCTTGAAATGTTAAGGGTACATTAGAAACTCCTTTGAAACGATATTTAGGGAAAATCTTGGATAATATTTAAAGGATATTTGCAAACGTATTTCGATAAAACCTCCAAGGAAATTGAAAAGAACATTTTGAAGAAAATGTACTTTAATAATTCTAGGATACGATAAATAAAGCTGTGTTAATAAAGGTTTTTTTTTTTAAATTATTGCAAGAATTTGGAAAACAATCGAAGATAATTGCCATTAATGCCAACATTTCTTTGGAGAGAATCTTAAGATTGTTCTGCAGACTTAAGGTTCAATTTACTTTGATGCTTTTTGGTAAATTTCAAAAGCAGTTTTTTTCCGACGCATTATTTCAGAGTGCAAAAAGCTCGCACTATTCGATTTCTTTTGATATTTTACACAAAATGACGCGAGCTTTTTGCAATCTAAAATAATGCGTCGAAAAAAACTGCTTTTTATTTTAAAAAAAAAATGCATCAAAGTAAATAGAACCTTAACAAAACGATGTAAATTCATATCTACAAAAAATGCCTGTAGTTCAATTTTCCACGACATTTCGTGAAATTTCTTATACAAACTCGTTTAGGTGTACAGTTTACGGTAAAATATAGTCTATAAAAAAGTTTGAAATAGTTAAATCTTTAAAAAAAAATTACATCCCGATGCCCATAATTCTAGCAAATACCCCACGCGGAGTGAGCTGAGTCAATTTGTGAGCAAAGTGTCAATTGCCGAAATAATTCTACTTTAATTTAAAAATCAACATAGAGAGCTATAGATCCATACAATACACCGTAAGCTAAGCTCTTTCAGATTCTATATCCATGAAATAAGCCTAATTTTTCACCGCAATCACCGTCATTTGGAGCAGTAAACCAGAGTTCAGTTAAACATCTAGGCGGAATCGACTGTGCAAGCTATGCCGCATCAACCCGCTCCGATTCAATCGCCAGATTGCGCTCGATCTCCCAAAGCAGATTGGACTTAAAAATGCAAATGAATATTGAAGGCTCTGGGTGTTATTTGATACGTGTCGTTGTCGTGTACCGCACTCCTCAACCCCATCCCTGGCCATCGTGGAGCCTTATTTCTCGCTTAACCTAGCCCGACGTGTGGACTATGCGATGCGGCTATGCCTGCCTGCCACACAACCGAAACACAACAGCGATAATGCAACTCAAAAGGTGTGCAACGCTGATCCTTCTGCTCGGGCTTGCATCGTCAGCCATCATCAGGCCTCCGGAGTTAATTTTCGTGAAAAAGGATTATTACATCAATGCGCCGAGGGGCTTTTTTGCGGAACAATTATAATTACGATGATAATTGTCGTTTAGCCTTTTCCAGCCAAGCCGCCGCTCTCTGTTTCGCGTTCCGTGTCTCTGTTTTTGGGTGAGCGAGCACAGTAGCAGTCAGTACGGTGGAAATTCAGCAGGACCTTGATGGTCTCGCTCGCTTGCAAGCAATCATAATGAGCCACCAAGGACGATTAGTGTGCATGGGTGGTAGGTGGGGCGAGGACAATTTGCTCCTTACCGTCGTCGGTCGACCGTTCATTGGTGGCACTATGATCGATTAGTATGTTTTTGGATTGGAAACCCCCGGATTGGGGGAGTAATTTGATAAATTCAAACTTAATTAGCTATTGTTTTGTGAAAGTGGGCCTGTCTGGATGGATGGTTGGCTGGCCGACTCGGCTAGAACTCGGCCGGAACTCTTGCCGTGAATCGATCTCGACGATATCGTCCTAGCAGCAGGCAAAAGCCTTGCTGTGTGCTAGGTTGCCGTAGCCGTGGAGAGCTTAATTAAAAATGTAAATGCTATGCGCGTTGTGCCTGTGTACGTGTGTGTATGTGTGTGTGGGTGTGGTGAATGGTCGTTTATCGGATTGCGATTCGTAGTAAAACGATTGGGTGGATGGATTGCAGCAGCATCGTCGTGTAAAGAACAGTCCGGGTGTTGTGGGATTTTGATTGTCAAGCCACGCGCACCAGATTGTGACAAATGATGGCCGAAGATTGACGGATAATTAGTTTTTGCTGCGGGATGGGAAATGCTAATCGTTTGGGAAGAGTTTGGAAAGTTAATTTAGCGGCGGTTTGGGTGAGGTATGAGCAGCTGGATTACACGGTGGCCTTTCGAGGGAACCCAGTATCGATGTGAGGGGAGGGGAGCGGCAGTGTGTCTAATGGAAAATGCGAATCGAATGCAACACAGTCAACTGTCAAAGGACTTCTCAAACCACGCAAACCAACGCCGTTTTTAATTCATCAATGATTTATTCGGTAGTTCTATGGTACTATCGGTTTACAATTCTTTTGACACAAAATATATTTCTCCATCCGCTAGGCGGTTTAGGGATGATCTCAAATCCAACTATCTCTATTGATTTTTTTTCCTTCGGTAAAAACGAAAACAAATCCTCTCTGCTGTTTGTAGTTCATTATTAGAATAACATCTTCCTCTCAGCTTGGTTATCTAAAATTTCTCATCAAAATAGAAGCAAAACACTTAACGACTAATAAGGATATACATCTGTCTCTATCTATCTTCAAATGATCGCCAGTTGCAGTAGGTAGCTCTGGCGTGATGGCGCTTCCACGGGAACGGGGTTTTGGATTATCACAAAATTCCACTTCCTCGTCATCCGGCTGCGGTGGCTCGGCATGACGGAACCTTTGCAGCTCAAGTGGCGGCACCTCCTCCGCCGCCACCCCGATCCTGATCGGTTTCCATTCGGGTTAGCTCCAGCTCCCGCTGGTCCCGTTCCTTGCACAATCGATGGGCCTTACATTTGTCGTGATGGTTTACAATTTCCAGCCGGAAGTTCGAGTTTCCTTCGACGAATGACGTGCGAATGTCCGGTATGTCGTTGCTCCACCGCCGACAGAAGGAACAGTACATGTAGTTCTTTTCCTCGTCGTACTTGAGCCAATCGAATTGATCTAACCAGTTGGGTCGGAAGCGGCCGCCCTTTCGGGACGTTGAGGTTGTGGAGGTTCCGGAGGGATCTCGTCCACCGCGGGACGTTTGTCGGGGTGTTTGAGGTTTGGTGTGCACCGGCGAGGGACGAATCATCTCCTCCAGGAGTGACTCCTCGGCGGTTGCACTGGCACTTGTGGATCCACGGTTTGGTTGTTGTTGTTGTTGCTGCTGCTGCTGCTGTTGCTGTTGCTGTTGCTGCAGAAGGTAACGGTGAAGATTCGTTGGGCTGCTCCAATTGGAAAAGGTCGGTGGAGCTGCCGCAGCATTTGAAATGATCGATATTGTACTTTGGGCTAGCTGCAGCTGGTTTTGTACAGTGGATTGCTGTTGCTTCAGGTGCTGCAGTTCAGCGAACGACGTCAACAGCTGGTGTTGTTTATGCTGGTCTTGAGTGGTGGGTAGGGCGGAGGATTCCTCCTTGATGGCAGTTATAAGCGTTTGGGACGTTGCTGTCGTCGTCATCGGTTTACCGCCGGTGGACGTCGACGGCGATGGCTGTGATGAAGAAGAGGTAGCGATCGCTTTGCCTGCCAACGACGACGATGATGATGACTCACTTCCCCAAACATTTTTCTGTCAAACATAGGAAGGGAAGGATATTCATTGTAACAACAACAATTGTCTGTGTGTGTGTCTCGCTAGTTATGTGTTCTCTTGAAAAGGTGATCTCAAGAAAAGCTTTTACATCTACCAACAACTGGAGGGAACAATGCTTTGCAGCTTTGAAACTTGCTTGCAATACGATACGGGATGCGTTTGTTTTTAAACTATTACTATTTCGCAAAAGGGACAATGAACACATTGTTTAGATTTTTTCTTTTGACAGTCGATTCTTGTTACGGGAGCACTTTGCATCAAATGAAATTTTGATCGATCCGCATCAATTCCTTCATCCTTCGAATGAAATGACAAGAAAAATGTTTGTTTTTTATCTTTTTTTTTTTTTTGGTTTTTCGATATCAACTCACGAGACGTTTTTCAGTCACTAATTTTTATCATTTTTGCACTTTCGATTGCCGATGACAGTTGACTGTATTTTTTTTTGCGTATTTGCTTTCTGTGATTGTAAGCAATAATTGGGTAGTTTAAAGACCGAAATTATATAAAATATGCTTATTTTGTTTATGTATGGAACCAAAAGAACCGGCTCAAAGAAAAAACCTAGACAAAGTTCCAACTGATAAAAAAAAACATAAAACTTATTTACAAACTGAACAAAATGATAGGGAGAAAAACTGAACAGAGAGTTTAAGTAAGCAACAAAAGTCATACACGAGTTACACTGTCACCAGGAAAAGGAGGAGAGTAGTGGAAAAAAGTACTTAAAGACGATGGTGTTAGAGGAATTTCTACGTTGTTTTGGGGGAATTACAAAGCGATAATGTATGAGATACAGTAGGAGCGCAACAACATACAAAGGGAGGCATTTCAGAATAGAATTAAAAGAAGAAGAAAAACTTACCGGCAATAACTCTGGATGTAGTGGGTGATGGCGGCTGGGCAGGTCCGAGTATTCCTGCTTGATCTGACTGGCGAGCGAATGCATTGGGGCCGGTGAGCTGACTTTGAACTCATCGTCTGGCTTTGGACTTAGCTTGATACTACTGTGTGATGACGCCTGTGTTGGGAAGGAGAAGATGATTTACGAAATTAGCAGACGGTATTTGAAGGTTTTTGGAACGAACTAAATATGTTTTGAATTGTAGTGTAATAACAGCACCGGCCCAAGTGGAACCTACAGTACGTTATCACCAAGTCAGCAGCATACCAGCTTAATGTACGCATTTCGCACTATTACTCCTTAATTTCATTCGAATGCTGCAATAAGTGTATCCCCGTTCTTCACTCAACTGAAGATATCAACAATTGAAAATTGCTTTTTAGTTGGAGAAAGTTGGTCGCAACTTTTCAATTAAAGGATTAAACGAAGCACTTCATTGAGCAAACATTTGCAACTAAACTCGTAGAAAAAAGTTGTAGGAGACAACAGTCATGGTGTCATAGGGATAGGGACACCCCATCACAAAAACTGCTATAGAAAAATAATCATAAGATTTCCTACTATAGTTTCTTCAGCAAAGTTTCATAAACATATATTCAACTTTGTAGAAGCTTCCATCATTTTTTCCTTGATTTGTTTTCCGTGCTGAGCACGAATGCTACCGACGCCAGAGAGGCAGTTCCCACACCTGGACCCTACCTATCGACCAATCAACTCATGAACCTTCCAGCATTATCAGAAATGAAAAAGTTAAATTTTTATTTTCGTTTTTTTTTAAACCACCCTAGTTGCAACTTTCATCAAAGTAGAGGCCTTTTTAATTTCATCTTATACGAGTTGATTTGAAATCATATACGACCATATCTTTGGCAACACTGTCTCTTTGGTTTGCCTTGGAGTTAATTGAATGTTGTATTTTTATCGTGAAAACCGTTTTTTTTTTAATGTGACCGTTTATTTTCCATCGAAGTACTGTGCAGTGTTTATGTTTTTACAAGACAAGAGCAGAGAAAGCATCAAAAACATGGCCGCCAGCCAGGCCCCTGGTCTCAACAATGAAAATATTCAAAACGAAAGCTTTTAGGTTTGAAAGTTTTTCGCTCACTTATGACTCGTAATTTTAAAAGTGCATTTTTTTAAATGAAAATTGCTTTACTGTCAAAAATACTTCTACACACCAACAGTTTTGGCAGCACTGAAATTTTGCCGCTAAATTTTAAGATAAATCAAGCTGAACATTGCATTAGGTCCTAAGTAACATTGATCGATTCTCTTCATCGACTTTCTCTTTCGTTAACAACTTGGGTATTGAACCGTTCCTTGTCATGTTTTTCGTATTAGAAGATAGACACTAGCTTCTTTCGTCGATATGTGAGCTGAAAATAGCTGGGAATGTCTTAAAATGGCCATGAGGATGCAAAGAGAAAGTCGACGAAGAGAATCTGTCAATGTTACTTAGGACCTAATGCAATGTTCAGCTTGAAATACATGCAGAACAAATCAGAACCAGCAACTGCAGCAGCAGCAGCAGCAGCAGCAGCAGTAGTGTCATATCAATCCACTTCCCAAACATAGATTCCACCGGCTTCTCCCGTCCCTAAAATTGGCTTCCGGTTTTATCTTTCCGTTAATGGTTTTGAAATGTTGGATCAAATCAAACAGGCCCTACTTGACGATCCAGTAAGTGTGTTTTTTATGTTTTCAAACAACCTTTATAAATGCTTACTACCTTCGCTGTTTACAGTATTACCTCAAAACGACCCAAGAAGAACGTTTCTTGGTTCGCACCATCTGCAGCACTTGCTCACATTAGGCTGCTGGCCAAAGTTGGCCCGGAACTGTTCATATCATCCCAAGATACCACGATCGAGAGTGCGGCACCGATTGAACTCTAGCAATCAATTACTGCCAAAATAAATGCGAAGCCCGAGGCCTTTGCCGGATTCGTTTACCAGATTTAACTGTTACTCGGACTGTACAATGTGCATCATATTTACTGTAGGTGTAATGTATTACTTCTCAAAGATTTTGAATTATAGACCCTTCAACATGTTCACAGGTTACAAGGATTATCAATCTTCAAAGAAACCAGGGAGCTGGCCTGGAGACTACTGGCAAAGATAAAAGCAATGCTTACAGTGTACCATCAATGCATGATATCCAAAACCGTTGATACATACTGGCTGAGTTCATCAGTACATCACGAGCCATGATTTGATATCATTTGTTTATTAGAGAACAGACTTCCAAGCTTGAACAAATTTTTCGAAAAATTATGTGTAAAAATTTAAATTATAATACGTTAGAAACACTAGCGCCGCCATACGGAGTGTTGCGACTCGAGTTATCACCTTTTGAGATTAATGAGTAAACTGAACTAAAATTTGGATTGATCTTATTGACCGTGTATCCAAATGAACTGTCAAATCAGTTCAAAACAAACAAGACAAAACAACGGAAATCAATCGAGTTTCTTCAGAACCATTATTTTTGAATTAAGCTCTTTTACAGTTTCCTGTAGATCTACAACCATTTTTCGATCAAATTTTAACTGGGCATAGTATTCAGGAGAAAAACTGACTGGTTCACTGGCGGCGTATCTTCAAAAGATTTGAACACTGCTTACCCTGCATCTGTTCTTCCAGTAATTCGAAAAGCCTCCGGGGGGAACTGGTCGGAACATAACTTTTTCGTTGCAAGCGCTTGGATTCCACGTGAGAGGAAAATCTTCTGTAGTTCGGGCAATTCAGCATCCTTAGGAAAGTTGTGAAAAGATTTTCGCTTGGTAACACCATAGAGGTAACTCTAAGACTAGAAGGTCCCGAAGAAACGTGCTCAACTTTTTGACTCAGCTCTGGTACTCTCTTCGGTCCCAAGCTAATCGATTCACCCCTCGAAACATAGGAAAATCCAATAACCCCTCATAGTATCTGTCAAACTTTCATAGCGAATCAAAACAAACATTGTGTAGTACTAGAATTTCGACTAGAATGGGGTACGTTAATCGTTTGCTTGGGACCAATAGGCTAGTCAAGTAGTGAGCCAATTTAAAATCGTTAGTTTCGTATTGATTGTTGGTAACACCTTGTTTATTTGCGCACCAATAAAACTCGCCCTTGCGGTCCATGTTTTGATCGGTTGTAAACAAACAATGTTTTGCTCACAACAATTTCGACATTTATGTTAAGATGACGTCCGGCATCGACGTCGATGGGCAGCAACACTAGCGCCACCACGATATTGCTTGTTTCGAATGTCTATTCAAAATAGCAGTTTAATTTCTTACACACTTTAGGAATTTTACTTGGATGTCTGTTCTCTGTGATAAAAGTTTGTTTTGAATTTAAAATAATCCACTTTTTATTCCAACACTGCCATGTTTTTGTTTTGACAGAAGTACAATTCGTTTTGAAAGTTTGAACTTTTAAAAGTAGGGAGCGGTTAACTTTTGAATTAATTGTAGGCGCACTTTTATTTTAAATTGTAAAAACTTTCTACCAAAAAGAACCAACGCAAACTTTTAATTCTACCAATGGTTTTTTTTTTAAATTTTATCAACGATTATTTTTTGTGTGTATGTGGCAAGGTCGCAACAAATGTAATGCCTTCAAAACCATTCTTACTTTCCCGCAATGGACAACTAAAAAATGATTTAGTTGTTTTCAAATTGACGAGCACAATTTGCGTGAATCATGCTTTCCTATAACGTTAACTAGAAAACTCTATCTACTTTCCGCAACGCGACGCGACGTGTACCAAGCTTAATCATAGAGAAAAAGTAGCTGTCAAATTAGCACCAGAGCTCCTAAGAGCTAAGAGAAGAGGTGACAATACGGGGGCGAAAAAGAACCACTTTTCTGTCAAACGTGAACCAGCTCCTGATTGGCCGATTTCATGTGTGTAAGATAGAGATAGAGATAGATAAAGATAGAGATAGAGATAGAAATAAAAGAGGAAGATGCCAATTGTCACCTCTTCTTCTTAGCCTAAGAGGAAGAGGATACACTGGTTTCATACTCTTTTATCTCTATCTCTATCTATATCATCTATCTCTATCTCTATCTTACGCACTTCAAATCGGCAATCACGAGCTGGTTCGCGTTTGACAGAAAAGTGGTTCGTTTTCGCCCCCGTATTGTATCCTCTTCCTCTTAGCAGAGCACGAGAAAAAATTGGCTTCACTCGAGTTGTTCGCAGACAAGTCCCCGGCAAGGTGACAGATAACCTTAGTTTCACGTACCCACTTGTAAATAGTAGATGTCGCCACACCACGTATGCAAAGGGATTGTCCTTCACCACCGCAATGGTATTTCTCTACGGGAAACCAACTTTTTATTTCACCATGTGTGGATGTCAAACAACAGGCAAGAATTCTATGTGAAAAGAGCGAATTTATGATTCTCGTGGTGAAATGAAACAAATCCAAACGAATTGAAACCGATTGATGGAGGTTCATTTTTTAATATAATCAAATGGTAATAAAAAATACTGTGCTGTCTTCTATTTTATTTGGCTCTTAAATATAACCAGCCTTAGACTTATTTTTTGATCATAGCTGTACGATGAAAGCTTGCCATTCTGATATACAAGATTTCTGAAACTGAACTGAAAATACTCGTTAATTAGCACAAATATTTCAACTTTGGGAATTACATATTACGAACGGTTAGAAAATATAATCATAATGAGCATCTGCAACATTTATCAGCATATTTTTTTGTACCTATCAGGACTTATTTTGGAGCTGAATGTAGTGAGCATCCATCATAATATCCTGATAAAATTTTGCTTCGATTTTTATTTAAAACTTCGGCTTGAGGAATTTGCCAAAAACTTTGGAGGCATTAAGAATTCTATCACATTTTTAATAGAGACTAAGCGATCGATTCAACCTCTGGTGGTGAATAGGAGAATGTCAAAAATAGTGTTGTGAGCAGAAATTTCTGCCATGAGACATAGGAAACGAAACACTTTTTCACTTATCCTGATAAATTGATTCATCTGAGTAGCTCTAAAACTTGACGTATAGTAATTCTTTTTATTTCTGTATCATATTTGCAAGGATCCTGTTGGTTTTCAGGAATATTTTTGTTGAGGGCAATGAAAAATTATAAGAG